TCTCTATTTCTGAAAAAAAAAAAAAAGTTTTGAATGATAGACACGTTTTGCTATTTCTTGGTTTGCATTGGAGTGACAACTTTGAAAGAAACTCCAACTAAACATTTTTCCACCTTTACATCCGTGTTCACTTCTTAGTTCACCTTTAGATTCATAATTTCTTAACGGCTAACAAGGGGTAAATATGTTGTGTGACTTTTAGGTAGATGTATGAAGCTTCAAATATAGATTTATCATCATTGAATAATAAATTTCAAAATAAAACTTTCACCGAATTAAGCCGAATTTCAAAGTATTAGAATGTCGGGCTCCCTTTTAATCACAAATGTTCCGTTTTTTTGCAAATCGGCTACTTTGTGAAAATCTACAACGTGTTTTCCATCTCTATGAAGAGGAGAGAAATGTATATAGATTTCCGGTTTCAAATAAGAATGTTACAAATTTTTTTTCAGTTTCTGCACAACCGTATTAGCTATTTATTTTTTATTTCATTTTTCAGAACTTGTTCTTTAGATATATATCAAATAAGAGGATTGTCGTTTTGTTATAATTTGAAAATTTTTCGTCTTCAGCATTATTTCTTTTTTTATTATTACTCTGATTTCTAATATTCTCCTAAAAATCAAATGATCCTTATAAAAAAAATATGTACATATGTATATGTATGTGCATATGGAGAATATTTAATTTAGATCTTAATATTTTAAAAAGGTATTTACTAATTCAATAATTTTAGAGATTTAAATATTAATATAAATTAATAGATATAAAATGTAAATGAATAGTACAGGTACAAGTGATGCTCACAAGTAATACACTCACAAACGAAAATGTCACTTTCAATAGTAATTTTAATCAGTACGCCACAAGATCGGCGGTCATGACACAATATACAATTAGGGTTATTTAAATTTAGATATAATATTAAAATTTAGATTAATAAAACATCAGAACTTAAATTGAAAAACAACGTTAACTTTTTGGACAGAATATAAAATTTGAAAATTGTTCTAATGAAGTATGACAAATGGCAGGTTTGGACATATGGTAAATTGCAGATTTGTAGATTTGTACAACCGGGGTAACAGTGTACCGCGATCACGTATAGGGATATATTGTGCGGCTCCCCCTCTTTCTGAACTTGTGAGAATTCGAGCTCCTTAGTCTGCCGAATTGGTTTTTAACCCAAACACTTCCGCACCAGTAACACTTCATGGTATGTCATTCTACTGGGTAACCTGAAAAGCTCAGCATGCACCTGTGATGCGGACACAAGCGAGTCTCCTTTGGGTGTATGATACGAATGTAATTTAATTTAAGAAAAAAGACAAATAACTGCAGATATCAGTAATGTATTGATGTTAAGTAATATTATTTTACAATAATGAACATATATTCCAATACGTGAATTTAGAATTTTTGAATTGTTGATTTTTCTTCTTTTTGTATGCAACTTTTTTATAGTTTTTGGCATACCTCATCACAGCTATAAATATTACTTGACTTTTCTTGCATTAAAATTTAAATTGTGTATTTTAATAAGTTATGTATATACATACATAATCAAATAAATTAGCTACATACATGAATAAAAATTCTAGACTGGAAATTATTAAAGAATATTATACACATTTTATGAAAATGCTATTATTTTTCATCAGAAAAAAATGAAACAAACGACAACACTAATACTGACCTACTACACATTTTAAAATTATATGTTACGTGTTCTTAATTTTACGACATGCTTTGTGAGAAATGTGAGAGAAAAATTGAGAAAGTAAAGTATGAGTTTGTCGCATTAAAACTATATAACAGTAATAATAGTTGCATTGTGTAGTGAATGAATAAAATTGCTATTTTCAAAAATCCATGGAAAATTTTTCAATGTTTTTCTACATATAATATGAAGAGAAGCAAGATAACGGTTGGTGCTGGAAATAATTTAATTGTATTTTTGAATAGTAACGTAAAATGTAGTGTATGAGTAGCTATGTGGTTTTTACTGAATGAAAAGTAGTTTCCGCTTAAAAATTTTTATAGTGAAATAACAAAAATATCTTTTATTTTTGTGATAAGAAAGCAAAATTCAGCATTTACCACGTATGTATGCATGTATAATGTATTCTACCCCACATAGTATGTTTATGCATACAATGAAATTTTATATGGCTATAGCGACTACCGTCCTTTGGTTTTATGACTGACTACACATAGTACATATTATGAGTTTTGCTTTTGTTTCTTGTTGTTATTGTTTTCTTTTTTTTTTTTGTAATTTCCTCTAAAATATTTTTGTTTATAAAAAAATTATAATTTCCAATATATTTTTTCATTGGTATAATAATATTATTTTTTGAGAGAGAAAATAAAATTTCTGGCGTCATCAAAAATAATCTAATAATGTGTGTACATATACCTACATCATAGTGCTGTTGTGCTGCTAGTGAGAGTACATTTTATTGTGCATAAGCATTTTTTATGCTGTGTGACTGTACTTTTATCATTAAAAATTTTATGTTTTGTTTTTTTATTTTAATTTTTCAACTTAAAATTTTTTCCCCCTTTTCTTCAGTTTTTCAAATACTTTAAAAAAAAAAAAAATATATTGAGGAAGTTTGATCAAAACAGAAAAGTAAAATTAAAAAATGATTGCATTTTTTTTGTTTTGCTCTCAAGCATAGACAAAATTCCAGTTTTTTTTTTCTTATTTAGATTAAAAATACGCCCTATAATAAGTATGTATGTATACATTGTGTAAATAAGAAATTTTGGATCGTTATATCCTATCATGTATGCATTTTTTACAACATCAATTAGGATGACAGAAATTCTAATTCAGAGAAACGCCGCTGCCTAAACTCTCTTTTATATTAAGGAAATATTTTTTCCTTATTTCTTATTAGAATAATGTACATGTTTTATTGATTAATGTTTTTGCATAATTAGGTAACTTGTACATTCATTGTATATGCATGTACACGCATATTTGAATTTATAATAACTATTTATCTTAGATTAATACATACATATACATAATATACATAATTCTGTGATTTCAAAATCTCAATAACACTATTTAGCTTGAGAGTTGAACATTTCTGGGTATTAATAAGAATGACCACGCAAATATTTTTAGCATTACATACATATGTATGTACATACTATACATTTTGTGTGTTTTATATACTTGGACAACAATGGAGAAGAGTAACCATTTTTAATTTTAGAATTTTTTTGGGATTTGTATATTTAAAAAATAATATTAATATGTAGTAGTATTTGAGAGATGATAATGATTGCCTAATCAATTTTGTAATTTTTCTTAAAAATCTTAATAAACATTCATTTTGTATTTAAAACTTTTGTTGCTGTGTAATCATTTAATATTTAACGTATAAACAATTACCGAACCAATTCCATTTATTTATCTACTTTTTCTCTTTCTCAAATTTGCAATAATTTATGTTTTTCCTTTTTTTTGTTTTTAATTCGAGCTTATTGTTTTTTTTGCCGGCCGGCCGGTTTATTTTTTTTTATGTTATTGAAACAAAAAATTCTTTTGAATTTTTATTGACTCACTAAGCTTTTTTTTATTTTGTTCTTGCTATTATTATTTAATTTTTTTAAAATATAAAAAGAATTTTTAGCAAAATAAAGAAAAGGGTGTAAGAAATATGGCCTACAAAGGTACCTACATACATATGTACATATAAAATATTAATAAGAATTTTACATATGCCAAAAAAATGACGTAAGCGTTTTAGGTTTTAAAAAAGAAATGACATAAGTAGAATGAAACGTCGTCGTGTGTGTTACTATTTGAAAAAAGACAAGATAAAAACGAAAAAATGAGAAAATATTAAATGAAAAAAAAAATGTATACAGACGATTCCATGATGACAAATATCGCAGTGTTACCATATAACAAGCTAAACATTTTTCTTTTTGACCGAAAATTTCATGTTTGAATAAAATGAGTTAACAAGTACATAATTTAGGACTCAGACAGATATTCAATTTTTAATTTCGCAATTACAATTTGATTGTAAAAGCGTTGTGCATAGTTCTAGATTAAATCTATGTTAAGATGAAAATAAACCTATAAAATACAAATAAAAAATCAAACAGCTACAAAATACAACAGCGTACAGGAAAAAAACGTGCGTGGAATGAAAAAATGTTCTGTATGCGGTGAATGTCAATAGTTCTATCATTAGCTTTGTGCTAGTTGGTGAATTGAAGGCCACTACTTCCCTTGAAGTAACTGACTAACTATAAAAACTATAAATATCCATGCGTATACTAATAAACTTAAAAAAAACAAACATTCACAAAATTATTTACAATAGGCAATAAATTTTCATTAAATAATTTAAAATCTCATAATTAAGAGAATAAAAATACCATACATAAAAAATTCTTTTGATCTATTTTATATTTATTGTCGCTGTCCTGTACTGACCATGGGAATAAAATCGTGTTGGTGTCCTACAGAAAACAACAATCACACTACAAAATGTATAATGAAATTTTTATTTCCTGAGAACTAGCGAGTACCATTTTTCTTATACATATATGTACATATATCCTAAACATTATTGTTATTTTATTTTTTTTATGTTGCAATATTTCGTATATTTATGACAATTATACATTCCGTTCCCGTCAAAGTTAAATTCTAAAAATAAATAGATAACGTAAAATTTATTAGGTTATCAGCTCAAGGATAAGTTTATCGATTTAATGGGTTTGTATACATAAGTATACAATAGATAGGTAAACTTACCAATCATTCAAGTATATTCTTTTCTCAATTTTGTTTGAATTATAGAAAAACAATATGCATGCCTAGTATGAAAATAACGGTAATTTTTTTGTATCTTGTAAGAAAAAAAAATTATTATAACGTATGGTTGTTATATTTGGTCTTAACCTTTGAAAAAATTTTTTTTTCACAAATTATAGATTTACATGTTTCCTACATTTTTTATTTACAGATGCGATAAATTAAAAAAAGATTTAAACATTGCTGAGAATTCCGCTCGTATGTGGGAGACTCGATTTACCGATTTGCAAGGTAAATATAATCAAGCAAATGCAGATCGGAAGAAAGCAAAAGATGATGCAAATGATTTAGAACTGGAAAATGAAAGATTGCGTAAACAACTGGATGAATTAAGAAGACATTTGGGTGCTGAAACTTTGTCTCGGGTTGAACTTGAAAATACAATTCAAAGTTTGCGTGAAGAACTTACATTCAAAGATCAAGTTCATTCACAAGAATTAAATGAGACACGTTCAAGGCGTCAGGTAGAAATCAGTGAGATTGATGGACGTCTTTATGAGGAATATGAAGCAAAATTACAAAAATCACTTCAAGAATTACGTGATCAATATGAAGCTCAAATTCGTTCAAATCGTGAAGAAATCGAAATGCTCTACGATAATAAATGTAAAAATCTTCAAAATGCAGCTAAACGTCATACAAATGCTGCTAATACAGCTGTAGAAGAATTACGTACAACTCATGCCCGTATAGAATCTTTAAATTCAAGAATAAGCGAATTAGAGGGTCTTACTGCACAATTGCAAGCACGTAATCGTGATTTAGAACAATTATTAGATGCAAATCGTGCTCGTCATGCCGAAGCAATTGCTGCATTAGAAGCTGAACTAAATCGTTTGCGTGAAGAAATGGCACAACAATTACAAGAATATCAAGATTTAATGGATATTAAAGTATCATTAGATATGGAAATTGCTGCCTATGATAAATTATTAAAAGGTGAAGAGCATCGATTAAATTTATCACCATTACAAAGTAATGTTGCAAGCCATTCAAGTGCAACCGCATCTGGAAGACGAGCATCACGAAGTACACCAGTACGTCGTACACCATCACGTCAACAGGGTGCATCATTATCATCATTAACACAAAATACAGGTTCTATAGTATTAGGTGGACCTGGTATCAAAAGAAAACGTGTGACAGAAGAATTAGAGGATCGTTCATCATCTGAATTTTATGTCACACAATCAGCTAAAGGTGACGTGGAAATATTTGAAGCAGACGCTGATGGTAGATTTGTTAAATTGCATAACAAATCAAATAAAGAAATTAATATTGGTGGGTGGCAAATTCTTCGTACCGTTGGTGACAATGAGACATCATTTAAACTACATCGTTCAGTTAAAATTGACGGTGATGGATATGTTACAGTTTGGTCCATGGATAGTGGTATAACACATGAGCCACCAACAAATATTGTAATGAAAGCACAAAAATGGTTTGTTGGCGACAACATGAAAACAGTTTTATTGAGTCCAGAAGGGGAAGTGAGTTTAAGATATTATTGTATTTGTTTTTTCTGTTTGTTAAAAAAGAAATTTTATGATTTAAACGTTTTTCTTTTTAGGAACTTGCGGCATCTGAACGTATCAGACAAGTTGTTTCAACTAGAGTGGCTAGACATCGTACATTGGGTGGTGAAGATTTATATCATTCTGAGGTACGGGGTGCAAGTGCCGCTGGTTCAGCCTCTGGGGTACGGTCCTTTCAATCCTTGTTTTAAGATTTTTTTTTCATAATTACATATATAGACACAAAGAAATATTAATAAAATTTAATAACTAATAATATTAATAGTGATAGGGAAGTACATAGTTATAAAACTATAAATTTTAATAAGCAAATGTTAGACATGATTTTGTTGCCACTTTATTGCATCGTATAAAATTTACAATGTTTTAAAATATAGTTCTCTTCATATGCAGAAGTTGAATTTTGTAACGTATATGGTAGTTTTATAATAAAAATATAGGTTAGATACTGTTTATTTTACAATATTTATATGTTTGTAATATGTCCAACAAAATTAGCATTTTTTTAAAACGGAAAAAAAATCAAGCATTTTGTTTTTATATGTTTACCAATTTTATTAAAAATTAAAAACTAACAAAATATAATATCATTAGGAATATTAATTTTTGTCAAATATTTTCAATATTTTTTTTCTTTTTTTTTTTAAACAAATTTGTGTTTGTTTTTATATATAAATATATATATATATTTATATTTTTATATACATCGATGGTTTAAAGGTAAAGCTCATAAAGTACACTTTTTAACTCGAAAATCGAGTTAAATGCATCTAACTGATATTTTTTTGTTTTTTTTTATCACTTAGAACACTCATTGTTCTTTTATAGAGTTCGCGTAATTTTTTTATAGAAAAAAAAAAATAGAACAGTAAAAATTTCACTCAGCTTCATATTTACTGTTTTAATAAGAAATATAACTCGTTGAAGTCATTTTGGTAAATTTCACGTTATTTTGGTGAAACGCGCGTCTAAAGGAAAATCAAATTTATCTCCTCATACACTTTTATGTGTGTCGCATCTAGTAGAATAAAGCTGAACAATAATTTGTTTATTTCTTGCTATTTTTGTTACTTTTTTTATTAATTAATGTTTTTACTTTTTTATTATTAATTAGTTTTAAATGTAAGTAAATAAAAAAAATACTCCTTAATTTTTAAAATAAATTAAATAGTTTGTTATTTCTTTAATACTAAGTGCGTATTTTTTGAATTATTTAAAAGTAAAATTTACTAAGAACAAAAACTAATTCACCAAGAGTTTGGTTGATCTTAGTAATTATTAGTTATATGCAAGTAAGCTCAAGTAAAAATATTGCGTTTAAATTCATGTACAGATAGCTAAATGTATTTCCCAACTTTACAAACTTAAAAATCAGTAAATCATAATTTTCTTGATAAATTGAAAAAGATACTTAATGCGTTAACTTTACACCATCGATATATTTTTTTACGAAAATTATATTTGATATTTTTTATAAATTTCAATGTATAGACATAGACAAAATTTTTATATATCAGAATTTATAATCGTAACTTTATTTAGGATTTGGTTTTATAATTATATCACTTTTGAAATTCCATAATGCTTTAATACCATGTATTTAACTTTTATTCCGAAAATTTTATAATTAAGACATATTCAGCAGGTTATTTCAAACCTGAATCAGATTTAAAAACTGTGTATTGCAGCAATATGGATTTCAAGGTATATTAAGAAACTACAATTTTTTAAATTAGAAATTGGTTTTTTTATAAAATTTATTTTTACAAGAAAATATTATCATCCTTATTACGAATGTGTCATTAGTTTTCAATTAAGCCAAATTTTTAAATTTATCAGTTTTTTTTATAAGAAATTTCTTTATATTTTTATAGTTTTTATAAGAAATTTCTTTATTTTTTTATAGTTTTTTTTTTATAAGAATTGTCTATTTGATAATATGAAAAAAAGAATATCGTAAAATTTACGAACCCAATGAAAAATTTTTTCAATTTGTTTCTTCGAATGTTTGTTTTAGACAATTTGAAATTAAAATAATATTTTAATATAAAATGTAAAAGAAAGAAAAACTCTAAATGAATGTAACGTAATAATAAAAATATTTTTTTAAAATAACTATAAAATAAATGTTTTTTTCATATTGTTAAATACTTATATATCCACATACATATTTACAATCTTTTCGGTCGCATATTGGATCTAAAAGATAGCAAATATGTAGGTTGATCGCATATTTTGCTTTAGCCCAATGTTCGAGTTTTTTTTTGCTTTTGAAAGAATGTGAAATATCTGTCCCTTTTTTAATTTCTTATGGTTCCTTGAGTTTTAATAATGCACAGTAATACCGTTTCAAAAATTTAATTGAGACAGTTTTCTGTCTAATTTATATTAAAGACCAGTTACATATTTTCTTTATGTATACTCTTTTTTTGTTTTATTTTTTATTTTAATTTATTTAAAATATATAAATTTTTTTAAATATAAAATTTAATCAAATAATTAGAGCTTGATTTCTTTAAAATTTGGCACTCGTAATAAGTGATGTATATATATATTTAGTATATATGAATGCAATTTGATTGTGTACTTCGACCTTTTTATCCATCTAATGAGAAAAATTACTAAAAATTCAATTAACTTAATTTTCAAGTGACTAAAAATTGAAGAGATACATAGTTAGGCATTCTATAAATTTTATATACCGTCGCATTCTCTAATCGGCAACAGATGATTTTGATTTCAATCACAATATTATTGAATATTGTGATATTGTAATAAACATCACATCATGTGGATGCGTTTTAGAAAAATACAGGTGATATTATAAATTGTAAAATTATTAAGAAAAGGAAATACTTTAAAAGTAGAATTGAGAAAATAAGACAGAGAGCATATGCTTGATAAATGGGTATATTTTTTTGGAATGCTATTTTTTTTCATTTGAATTTCATGATGGGTTTTTAGTGGAAATGCATCACACTTTATAACCTGCGAAAGAACTGGAAGAACAGTGCATGTACATAATATAATTTTCTTTTTTTAGAAATGTAAACTACTTTTAATTATGATAATTATGTTCTAATTAAAAAAAAATCAAAGGAAGTAGTAATGGTTATTTGGTTGATGAATACAAAAAGTTGATTAAACAGAACTGAGAATATATTAATTTGCGTCTGAAAGGCTAAGCGACACAAAAATATTTTATTATTCTTCTTTTTGTTACTTTTAGTTAGAGATTCAATAGTTTTATATCTTAATTTAGTCAATAAAATACTAAAGTTTATCAGGGAAAAACAAAGTTTGAATAAATTTTTTAATGAATTAGCCAGAGCTATCGTTTTGATAGTGTAAGAAATAAAAAAATATTGTATGATTCAATGTGCGGTTGATGAAAGATACTTCTTATTTCGCATTTTTAATACATCAAAAAACAAAAAAATGTGTTCTGGAAAGGAGGATTTTTTATTTTGTATTATAAAAAAATTTTACGATAGAAGTGTGTAAATCTCATAACTATTTTTGAAGCCAATATTTTAAAAAATATGAAAAATAGACTTAAAAATTTTATTGCAATTATGGACAAAATGTATAATTTTAGTTTTCCATTTAAGTTAGACAAATCTTTTATTAACAATTTTTAATTATATTATCACAATTGTTTTTGTAATGGATGCTTGAATAGTAGATTTTATTAAACATAGTGTTAATTTAAATTTAATATATAAAAAAAATTATTAATGTCCCATTTTATAAACTGTATTCGTTTAAAAAATCAGACAAGAAATTCAATGAAATTTTAATAAAACAAGAAGAAACGAAAAGCAATAAATTAAACTTTGTAGTTTAACACAGCTTTGATGATTTTATATTTATATATAAATTTTATGAAAATTTCTTTATATGTCTTTTATATGTAAATATTTTTATTACAGTATTCCTCGGTTAAATTGTATTTTTTAATTGAAATTAATAATTCATTCAATGCATTGCACACAATTATTATGAATTTAACAAAAAGAATGAATAAATTTTTAAAAATTTTTTAAAAAAATATATGATGATTTACATTTTGAGTAAAAAAATTAAGTTGAATACAATTTTAGTTATTTAATTTTCAATAATTATTTGATAATTAATTTTTTTTTCAAATAAATTCCGTGACAACAAAGTAAAATAACATAAATCAAGAATTCGTAGTTCTAACTTAGTAGTAGTATGAAGGAATTTCAATTCAATATTTCTTATTGTAAATGTAAAAATTTTAACCTTAATTAATTTTTGTTTCAATGTAACTACATATTTATGTATTAAGAAATAGAACGTATTTAATGAATAGTATATGTATTTTGTGATAAAATTTTAAACGTAAAGAATTCAAATTACTCGATTTGATCTAACATAAACTTACATGTTATATACGATAATTTTTTTTCTTGCCACAGAATTGGTTTTTTGGTGTACTATACATATGCTTCTCTCATGTCTTTCTTACACTCTGTGGCCTAGTTCAAAATTTATCTAATGTTCATTAAACGAAGTTAACTATAGAAGCTTTATATTTTAAGTTTTTTTATATTATATAAAAAAACAAAAATTCGATTATTGATTAATTGCATCAGGTAGGAGCACACGTTTACTTAATTTTTAATATAAATGAGTATCTTCTACGAAAATACAAATCTAACGTCGATTTAATTTATTGAGTAATACAATTTTATTTGTTTGCTAAACTGGTTTGCTAAATAATTTGATTTATTCAGCAATACTGGATGAGTTAAATTAACGTTAGACCTACATTTGGGTTTTGTTTCCACGATTTCATCAAACTTTTAAAGGAAAAGCTCAATTCTTTCGGTATTATTGTGCTGTGTTCGGAAGAGAAACATGAATTCATATTTAACTGAAGAATACTGTATATATGTATGTGTATGTATTTTTTTAATGTATACATACACACACAAAACAATATTTAATATATATTTTAATTTATACTTAATATTAATTATTTGAATGTTTTATAGCGCTTCTGGCTATGGTGAAGCAGAAATTAATTAAAAAAAAAATATTAAAAACACAAAAAAAAAATTGACACAAATCAAATATTTTGCTATTATTTTTTTTTATTTTTTTTTGTTTTTGTTAAAAAAAAATTATTTAAAATACATACTTAAAATAAATACTAATTTAAGGAATTCAAAAGTCGTTTAAATAATTAAGAAAATAACAAAAAAAAAACTAAATAAAATAAATTTAAATAAAAATAATTAAAAAAACTAAGAAGAAGACTATGAACAAAGGTAAAAACTATTCGCAATAATGAAAACTATTCGCAATAATAAAAACAACAACAACGAAAATAAGCTCATAAATTCAAAAAAAAATTTAAAAACAAACTTTTTTCTCTTTCATTTTCATGATAAATGGTATTTATTTACTGTAAAAAATTCACAAAGTGCAATTAATTATTTTCAAAGATTAAAATTTAAATGAAAAAATATAAAATATAAAAATAAATAATTAAAAACAAAAGACCAAAACCAACACAATATAATTAATAATATGAAAAAATTATAAAAAAAAATATCTAAGGCAAAATTATTTAATAGAAAATATACAAAATGTAAAAAGAAAAAAAAAATAGATACTAAAAATTCACATCTCTCCAATATTTTCTTTTCCATCAATCATTCATCAATCCGTTTTCTTTGCCCGGAAAAGGAAAAAAAATATTGTAGAAATTAAAAAAAAAAAATTTACTTAAATTCTCTCGCCTTTCGCCGGTGTGTACCTTAAGTGAAAAATATAAATATTATAAGTATATAAAATACCATGCACATTTAACATTAATACATATCAAAAAAGAATTATGACAAAGTGAAAAAAAAATTTTTTGTTTAAATTCTGAAAATAAAAATTTGCCAAAAACCAAACTAATAGTCAACCAACAAAGTCCTCCAATTTCACCACATAATTAAATAACAAAATTGAAAATAAATCATAAATCGTCGGTGTTCCCAGTCCGCTTCTCAACCCCCCTCCCCCTGCCACAGCAAATATTCATATGGCGAATACTTATTTAGTTTTGATGAACCGTATCCAAACACAACCATGAAATTAAAATTATGATTCGTACAAAAAAAAAAATTGGATTTTGCCAACACTAAAAACAAAAATTCTGAAAAGGTAAAATAAAAAAGAAATTTAAAGTCTATATAGGCGTAATCGATAATGTCAAATGCCGAGCGACAACAATTGCATTTGACCTGGTCACCAACTAATCGGCAATCAACAATTTATGCTAAAAAAAAAACATTACATTAACTTTCGTATATGCTTTGACAACTAATTAAATAAAATGATATGTAAGTAAAATGTCACTCATTATATAACTCTTCAAAAAATTTCTATTTTGCACAAAAAAAAGATCATCAGTTAAATTTTTTTTTTATTACAAAAATGCCAAAAGAATTTAAAAAAATATGGCAGGGAATTAATTGATATTATTATTTATACGACACTTGATTTTATTTTTTTTTATGTATCGGTTATACTGCTGACGAAGTAACAATACTTTTCAAATGATTCAATGCGTATTTTACATTATCGATTACACCTTAAGAAAGAACAAAAAAAATTTTTTTTTATTATTATTCTTGTACTATCTCTTTTGCATTACATATTTTTTTTTGTGCTTTTTTCTCTATAAATAAACATGAAATGAAACATGAATTCATAAATTTCCAGAAATGGTGTAACTAACATCCCTGACATTAAAATTACAGTATAACTCTTTATTAATCTACAACTCAGCAAATTTAATTAATGACCTGAATTCCGTACTAATGTCAGTATTATTGTAATTTTAAAGTTAGGAAATGTTATTCCAATTTTTTAAGTCTTATTATAGAAAAATGGTTTTATTAAAAAAACTTATCGTTTAAGAAATAATTTATGAATTTTATATAATTAATTTTATTAGTGGAATTCATATATACTCGTAAATATGTGCAATATTTTTAATAATTTAGATAATGGAGGTTCACAATTTTTATTTTCTGTAAACAAAAAAAAAATTTAATAACAATAATAATAAGTCATAAATATTATAATTATAAATATTGGTTTTTCAAAATACATTTCAAATTCCATTTCAGAACACATTAAGCCTATAAATAAAAAATGGTTGTCGGTTCGAAAAGAAAAATTCCGTTACTTAATTCGAAACTTACATTTTTATTTTTTGGCTTTAATAACTGGCATTAAAATTGCTGTAATACCCTCCTAACTTTAAAATTGCGTCAATATTATGTTTTAAAAGATAATTCAGCTCACGTGTTTAAATTGCTGAATTGTGTAACAGTGTTATTGTTTTGTTGGGTAAAAGTGGCGATTTTGATGTCTCAAGATAATTGTATCATCATTAACACATTTTTATATTTTCTTTCATGGAAAAACATCAACCATCAATCATTTTTTCATCTTTAATCATTCATTTATATATATTTTATAAGAATTAAATCATATTAAAATTAATATTTATTTAAAACTAAATTAGAATTGATCAATAACACAATTTATTATTATTTTTATATTCTTAATATTTCTTTACAAAATAATTATTTTTATTTTTTTTTTATTTATTAAATACAAGGATTGAAAGGATGTTTATTTCCCTATAAATAAGGGGCTTATTTTTTTATTTATTCATTTTTTTTAAATAAAATATATTTTATATTACTTTTTGGGTGTTTCTAAATATTTTTAACTCTGTAATAGTGTGTGTTTTTTTAAAAAAAAAATCCTTTTGTTGGAATTCATAATATTTAAAATTCATTTTATGTTAAATTGTGTTTTCTTACTTCGGAATTTGAACGGAGTAATATTAATAGATAATTCAGCAATTACATCCTATAAGCTGAATTGTGGAACACGATATTATTAACACGGTATTTTAATTCCGATATCGATTTTAAAATAAATCTTTAAAAACACCTTTATTATTTATTTTTTTATTACTTTTATTTCTTTTACTAAAAAAAATAATTGTTTTTGCTTAAATATTGGAGTGATTTTAAAATTGTATTGATATTACAAATAAGAAATTAAAAACTTTATCTGAATTGCTTCTTATATTTTCGTATATTACTGCAATTTTGAAATCAGGTATTCTTTTATATTCATTTTTGAATTACAAACTTTTTTATTTATTTTTATTCTCATTTTATTAAATTCTACTTTGTTCTATTTTGGATTCTATTTTAATTTCTTGAAAGTTTACAATTAATTATGTTTTCATCATCAATTAAAATTGTTATTTTGGAAAATCATGAAAAATAAATGTACTAATAAAATTGAACAAAGAGGAAGGGAGAAGGGTGAAAGAAGCAAGGAAAAATTGACATTCTCTGACTTCAAAAATGCAGTAATATTGTTTTGCTACACAATTCATAAGCTGAATTTTGTATTAACACTGTATTACGGCACTTTTAAAGTTGAGGATTCTTCAATATTATGATTTGAGCTTTTTTTTAAATTATGTTATGAAACATTAATTTTCTGCATGTTTTTGTTTGTTTTCTTATTAAACTAAATTTACTTAATTAGTTGAGTTATACAAAATATCACTAGCTTAAAAATTTCACTATAATACTTATATACAATTCAGCAATAAGAACTTATTGACTGAATTGTTTATATGACACCGAATATTATTACAATTTTGAAGTTAAGGCGGTATATATGTATAATGCATGAGTTCAAAATTACTATTCAGCAATAACAACTCAATAAGCTGAATTGAAAATTTAAATGTTTTACGGGTAATTTTGAAATCAGAGAAACTATCCATGATATTAACAAGATTTTTTTGTTCTTGATAATATATAAAATTATAAAGGTTGCCGTTCATTATATGTAAAATGATCTGTTTTAATATTATTTAAAATTAATTATAATAATCTCTGAGTTTTAAATTGCAGAAATAATTTATTTATTAATATATAATTATAAATTGTAATAGTTGAATTGTACAGTATTACAGTGCAAATATAGTATTAATAAAAATTTTAAAGTCATGGTGTTCCTTGACTTCAAAACTGCTGTAAAACGGTATTAATATACAATTCAGCCTATGAGCTTTAATTGCTGAATTGTTTATTAATACCGTATTACTTGAAATAAAGTTTTAGAAACCAGAGATTGTTTTTAAATTGGTTTTCTGATAATAATAAAATATTTTATTATCTATGTATAATAAAATAAGCATAATTGTATAATAATAATAATTATTTTATTTTTTCTTTTTCTTTTTCCATAAATTACAAAATGTTAATTCTACAAAATATCAGCATGAGCCATCGGAGCAATGTAGTATTTGCTAAAACACAAAAAACAAAAATTGAAACTTTTATTTATTAACTATATATAAAATTAAGGATAGATGATAACAATTTAAAACTTGGTAAAAATAAATAAAAAAACAAATAAAAAAACGTAATTAATTCCTGACTTTAGAGTATTACAGAAATAAAACATTAATACATAATGCAACAATGCATGTGTATTAAAAGAACAGTAGATATTGCTGCAATTTTAAAGTCAGGAAATCGTAGTTTCTGTAATTTTCAGTTTAATTTTGTTTTTGATATTTTTTAATAATTTTAATAATTATTAAATGAAGAATATTAATTTAATTAAAATAATTATAATCATATTATTAGAATTATTATTTTTTTTATTATTGTTAGAATTTAAGAAAAGGATCACAAATTTGGAAATTATTAAAATCTTTTTTTGTTTTTTTTTTAATATTCTCTGTCCATGTACATGAACTAATGATAACATTATAAATTCAAAAAGTTCAAAAATAAATAAAACAAAAAAAAATAATTATTTTCCAATCTTATATCACATATATAATTAATATTTACATTCACATGTATGACTTTAACATTGCGGTAATAAATACCTAAATTCTGCAATTATAACACAAACATCAGTTTAACTCCTCTTACCGACTACATTGCATACATTAAAGGAGATTATGTGATGGCAACAAATTTTGCATATAAAGTTTTCGGTGGAAACGCACTTCCCCATAGTAGAGAAGCGTAAATAAACTACTTTTGAGAGGTGTCGGTCTGTCTGTCTGTGTTTGAATGCGTGTATATCAAGTTTGACTGAACCGATTTTCATGTGGGTTTGTTTTGGCTATGTCACGAATTGATCAACTTGTGGGATATATCCGGCGTTTGGAACTGGATGCTGTCAGGCTTTGGAACTGGAAATACATAACCGATTTCCTTGAATTTTAATGTTTAAATTTGGAGTTTTAAGACAGTGAACATATAAATTTTTAAAAACGATCCCGGCTCGTTAACAAAACTGGGTGTCGATTTTACATTTTTTACCGTATCTGATGGCACAAAGCGAAATTCTACTAAGAGCCAATTTAACATATTTCTAGGTATGTTAACTAAAAGCTTACTAACGACCTAAAAATTGGAAAGAAAAAGGTATTTTTATAATCTTCTGTTACATTTTCACTTAACTAGACAATACACATTGCGGTCGATTATGTGCTGATCACGTCAGATTGTTTAGGTATTAACACCAAGTATTACTGCAATTTTAAAGCCATAGAGGGCATTTCTGAAAATGCACTTCTATAGTTTAGAACTGCAAATCTTTCAAAAATTCATGAACAAATTAAATGTGCAGCTTTGAAAGCTCTGCATTTCTACATTTAAGAACTGCATTTTCAAATATACCCAGAGATAAAGGTTCATCTGAAAACGCAAGCTCTAACTTAATCGTATTAGAAATTTTAGATCATATATGTTTTAATAAGAATGTAAAGCCTATAGTGCTTTTTAAGAATGCAGAACTCCGCAATAGTAATTTTTGTTTTTTGAAAAATATACAACAGCAAGTTAAAACCTTTCAGAAATTCTACACAATATCGCTATTTTTCAAATGCTAACTACTGCGATAGCAAAATTATTATGAAGAAGATGGGAGAAGTTTTAATGTTAAAATGCGTACACTAGACATGCTGCATTTTCAGAAGAACCTATATATATATACATAAGGAGTTTTTGAAAATACAGTTCGCGTGTTTTTGATAATGCAGTTCTTAAGGTGGGAACTACAAAGCTTTTAAAACTCCATGTACAAATTAAATGTAGAGTTTTTAAAGCTTTGCAGTTCTAACCTTAAGAACTGCATTTTCAAAAACATACCTTCTAAAGGTTAGAACTGCAAAACTTTTAAAACTCCATGTACAAATTAAATGTAGAGTTTTTAAAACTTTACAGATCTAACTTTAAAAACTGCATTTTCAAAAACATCCATGGCCTAAATTAATTGGATTGTTTTTTTAAGATTTTAAAACAAAACAATGGAAACAAAAATTAAAAAAAAAAAATTAATTTTTATGATTCTTGACCTTAAAATTATACTAATATTTTATATTTTTATATACACAATTCAGGTTACAGAGTTTGTATAGTTGCTGAATTGTGTTTACAAAAATACAAGTAATATGGGAATTTTTAAGAATCATTTTTTTAATTTTTAAAAATTTTAAAAATTATAAATTAAAACAAATTTATTGTAATTTTTTTTTTTCATAAACAAAAAAAGACGAATTGTGAATAATTGTATCATAATGCTGCGTTAATAGTACGGGATGATTTCCATCTTATAGACAAAAAACAGTTTTTAAACTGCCTTTAAAATTGAGCTTCCCTGGTTTTCAAAACGAAGTAAAAGCGCAGTCGAAACGTAAAACAAAAGCAAAACGCCTAGCGAAAAAATTAAAACCGCTTTTGGTACACATGCCATAAAAAGACTTGCCAGAATTAATAATTTCCAAATTATTACATTTTTTCCAGAAAAATATATTCGGTTAAGCATATGTTGAGATCAGTAATTTATTTTAAAATAATTCTTAAAACAACAAAGAAATACAAGGAAACACAAAGGCAAGAACAACAGATTACTTAGTCTTTCAGAAAATCTTTTAGTAGTTTTTTTATTATAAATAATTATTTACACGGTTTTATTTATTTAATATACAAAACTAATATTTTTTACAAATATTTATTACAAGCAAATTTAAAAACAATGTATAATATGTACATTATGTTGTGTAATGTTTTTTTAACGTCACATTGATATTCCAAAATCTAGCGAAAATTTATATACATTGCAACGGTTTTAAAGGCTTTTCGTTGTTGTAAAATTGTATTTAGACTGCTTTTTATACTGCGTTTGGTAGTAACGGCTTTAAACTTTTTTGTTTGATTGCCAAAATAATGAGCCTTATTCTAGTTGTCGCGTCACTAATGTGACATTTGTCGTTGTCGCTGTCACATCATTTGAAATGTGGTATTCTGGTTGTCGAGTGACGTGATTGCGAGAAATAATCGCGAAAAAAAAGCGTTTCAAGTGAAATTGATACATTTTAAAAAGAAATTTCGGCGAGTAAAGTTCAAACAAAAAAAAATTTTCAGTGTGTATATTTATATTTTTACATAATAAGCAATGTCATTTGCATTATGGTTTACGAATTCATCTCATTCCGGTAGTGATGAAATTAAAAAATAACAACAATTAAGGATCGAAAGATTTAAGATTAGCGACAGCTCTAATCCATTAGATTTGCCAAATTTTTTTTAGTAAATTAGTTGCAAACATTTTATTTTATTCACAGATTTATAAACTATTACAGACTTCCAAAGCAGGCCTTTGTATATTTACTGAATATATTCGAGGGAAAAACGAGTACCCGTAAAAGGCGTTCTCTTTCATGAAATTTCCAATTCTTCAAACTTATAAATACTTTCACGCTAAAAACAAAAATTAAATTACATATTTTATGACTTGATTTATGTATAAAATTAATTTTTTTATGATTTTGTTAAATTGTTTTGTTTTAACTTGCATTTTTGGTGTATCCCTCTTTGTTGTCACTTATAAATACTTTTCGACAAAAAACGTCGTTTCACTACGACATATCTCGCATCAGAACGACAACTGGAATATGGTTGAAACACATTTTCCCGCTATTCCCCGACGATTGTCACTGCGATCGCCGCTTAGAATATCAATTTCAAGTCGTAACGACAATTGTCGCTTTACTTCGACAACTAGAATAAGGCTCAATGTTTAAATATTTAACAGACAGAAAATTTACAAAAAGCATCGGGAAGTTTTTCGAGGCGTTGTCTGCTGTTTTCTACGTGTTCAAAACAGTTTCCAAGCAATTTGAAACTTACTACATCGTCAAAGCTTTTGAAATACAATATAAAATATAAAATATTGCAGCGAAATATTTTTTTACAATATGGAATCCAGGGATACTCGTAATCGTATGTACTATTTTATGTTTATGCTCTCTCACTTCTCTCATATGTTCAACGACCATTTTTGTAGAATTCGGCTCATCTAATCTTAGATAAAATTATACACAGATTAGATGGGTGATTTGATTGTAATTTCGTCTTTGATATAGTTTTTTTTTCTGAAAATGGTTTTTATGGAAATTTGTATATTTTTTTTGTTAAAATTGAAAAATATGTATAAGTGTTAGAATATGAGAAAACAAAACATATATTATACGACAATTTTACTTACATGTACCAATAATCTCTAATCAGTAATTAGAAATGATAAACTGAATAAGCTGATTTTTTTATGAACAAATATAATAAAATTGTAAATTTTGAGATTAGAGTTCTGTGTAATCCTTATAAAAAAAATTTATTTTTTTAATTTAAAATTTAATTTGTTTCAAATATTTTATAGGAGGCAGTCAGTCAGTTCATTGTTCGAAAATTTAAATTAAATTTAACTATTTTACTTACTTATATTACTGAATTAACGTTTTGATGGTACTTTCACACATTTATATAACTTTAATATGTATAGAATTTAAGAAAGTTAAAAAAAATTACAAAATGATTGTATGTACAAATAAATAAACTATGTAAAAATAGAAAATTATAATGTACTTGAAAATGAAAAAAGAAACTAGAAATAAAAAACCACTAAATTTTTGGGGTTTGTTCTTATTTTCATTATAAAATCATTAAAATCATCTTTAGAGCGTTTTGTTACTGTTTTATCTTGGTTCGGACTTTAAAAACATGGTTATCAAATTAAATATGTTTTTGAAATCGTAATTTTAAACATTTCAGAAGTACATTAATACCATAATTTGGCATATACACCGTGCCTTCAATAATGCTTTATAAAAAGTCTAAGTACGGTATTAATAGGATTGTACTTTCGCCTCAGCTTTTTCAATACCTTTACAATGTAAAAAAAAATGCTAAAGTTTTTGATACATTTTGGAATACAATTTTTACAATATTAATGCATACTTTGATGTTTGTTTGAAAATTTCAATTCAAAGTTTTGTGGAAATGTTAATTTTTAACAAACGTTTCCACATCATTAAAAACATAGCATTTTTATGGTGCATTTGAGGAAAAAACTTATTGTTGAAAATGAGGTTTTCATTTATTCAGTTTCAGAATAGTTCTAGCTTGTAGGACGTTCGAAAATTCACGCTATATACACTGAAAATATAGATCGTTCGGAAATTCAATCCGCAATAAAGAAATGTTAAAAATGTAGCGCAAACCTCTAGTAAAAATTTTGTCGCTGCCTCATGAAATTTTTTTTTTTTAAATTTAAAATTCAAAAACAATTTTAAATTTCAAAATGGTAGATTCAAATATTGTAATTAAAGTAAGTTTTCTTTAAGTCTTTAAATCTTTTTAAAATTTCCTTATTTTGCAGTGAATTGGAAGGCGAAAAGTATTGGGACACAATTTCATAAACAATGTCATTCCTGTTATTTTTGAACGACTGATTATTTAGAAGTTTCAGAATTTGTAGACTGCGTAAACAAAAGAACTTAGCTAAATTTTTTGCATACTGTTTAACGCATACTGTTTAACTTAGAAATTTTAGTTATAATGAAGAACTTTCAGCGCAGCGTGCATAAACGAAAACCCCCAATAAATGGTAATATTTTATCTAATTTTATTTAATATTTTATATAATATTTTAAGTAATTATTTTTGGTAACATTTATATGGCATGTATAAGAAAAGCGTGCTCGATTTTTTCGATACCCGATTTACTTTTATCTATGTAAATACGTAAATATACTCATTGAACGCATTTAGGAAAAGAACAATGTCAAGAGGTTTTACTAAACTTTTTGGAATTTGATATTTAGTAAAGTTAACGTTTAAGCGCATTATTGAAGTTACGGACAAATCATAAGCTGTTTCAGTTGATATCAATTACTGTACTACTGCAAATTTAAAAACTATGATTTTTACAGTAATTATATAGAATTTTTAGAATTTATACAGATTGAAAATTCGAAATACAATTAAGACATTATCTCGAATTATTGTGTTGTAATTAAAGTAGTAGAAGAATTGAAAAAAAATGTAAGTATTTTATAATTATATTATAATTTATTATTATTAAATTTTAAATAAAGTTGGGTCAAGTCAATGGTTTGTAGTGTAGCACTTTTCCCTTCAACAAGTGAAAATACTGAAACAAAACAATCTATGTTTTACACAATTCAAATTTATTTTATTCGAAATCAAAACTATTTCAAGGATTGTATACATTAAGGATGAATGATTTATGCAGTCTTTGAAATAAAACAGAAATAAATTAAAAGAGGTGTTAACATGATGCTCGATCTTAAGGATTAATTGCCTGAGTTAAGGAAAATAATTATAGTTTTAAGTGGCACAGAATTCCCCGTTAGCTCCTTCCATTTATAGAAATTTGAAAAAGTTTACAGTTTCGGTAATATAAGGCGCCAAAAATTCAGATTTTACAAATTTTGAGGGATGAAAGCTCGAGAGGGAGTGGAGGTGGAACAATTTTTTATAATGAAATCAACTATTTATTAGGGTCTAAAAAGTTATGGTTTCACTGCAACAAATACTTAATAAAAAAAAACATTTTTAGGGTTTTAGGCGGGTATATCTTTTAGAGGGGAGAAGATTTTCTTCTACGGAAATAAATTTCTAGTAAAGATATATGTACATAAAAAATTTCAGCTATATTCAAGGGTGTAGAAGTTTTGTAAACCGACACGCGGACAAGTGGACGGACGGACAGAGTGAAACTAATAAGTGCTTTTTTTCAAAATATTTTTGAAAAAGTGCAAAAACGAGTAGGAATTGATACATCTCCTTTTTGAATGTGAATAATAAAAATAGAGGTATAATCCTGGAGGTTGATACTAATATAGTTTCTGGTTCCAATACTCTTGTCAATAAGTTTAATGAATTCTTTGTTAATGCTCCTGATAAATATTGCAATGAATTTTATAAAAATTTTCATGAGGTAAATATCAGAAATGAGTTACATCAAAGCAATAGTTTCTTTTTTTACCCTATTTCTGCTTTTCAACTACGAATTCTGTTTCAAGTAATGTTTTAAAAAAGATTGCGCTTAAAATTGTGAATCTTCTTACGTATTTGTTTAATTTTTGTATTTATAGTAGTATTTTGCCTGACAACTTGAAAGAAGCTGAAGTGATTCCATTTTATTAAAAGGAAATACGTTTAAGATCAATATTTATAGGCCTATTTCACTCCTTTCATCTTTCTCAAAAAATTTTCGAAAAATGTATGAAGAATAAATTAATGTCTTTCTTTCACAAGATGAATTTTTTTAGTTGTCGTCAATTTGGCTTTCTTAGTGGTAGATCTGCAAAAGATGCTTTGTTGAAATTTTGTGAGAGAATCTATGGTGGCCTTAATAAAAATATGATAATAACGGCTTTATTTATTGATATAACTAAGGCGTTTTACCTTTTCAATTATGATATTCTTTTGGCAAAGTTTTTAACTGATCGATTTCAGGCAGTTCAAATACACAGTACTGTTAATAATAGGCTTATGGCGGAAAGTGGGGCTCCGCAGTGCTCTGTTTTGGGACCCATTTTATCCCTTGTCTACATAAATTCCCTATTTTTGCAAAATTTTTCTGCAACACCTATTGCTCTTCGTTGACGATACGTTTTTTATATATTTTGGTTTAAATACCATGCCCCTAAGTGCAATAGGTTTCCATTGCAGGTGGTTGATGCCAATGAATCATTTTTATCGTCATTTAAATATTTGGGTCTAATCATCCACTCTAAGCTTGATTGGTAACTATATATCCCGTACCTCAAAAATTATTTTAACTATTCTATAAGGCAGCTTAATCATACTTAGTCAATCTACATATATGGTTTGCAAACACTTACTAGCATTGTATACTTTACGATTTTTCAATCTAAGTTGCAGCATTACATTGTTTGCTGGGGTGGTACTTATTTTAATAAAATATATACTGTATACTGATCCTGCAGAAACGTGCAATTAGTCCTGTGTGTAGGAAAAGTAACTTGTCGCCTACATATGATTTATTTTTGAGTCAGGGTATTCTACCTGTCAGAAACTTATTTTTTTATAAGTCACTAAGGGTGTTTTTTATTAGATCGGGATATTTGGAGGTGACACGCAGGTTGTTTAATAAGCTTACAGATTTTATTATAAATACCAGAAACTAATCGGAATTTCTCAGTTTATCAAAAACATTTTTACTTAATATCAAATAATGTCACCGAAATTGAAAAGCTGCTACAGGTTAAAACCCAAAGTATAATTTTTTCGGTTTTATTTTTTGTTTAACTTCAAACTTCTAATTTTTTTTTGGTACAATATCTACAAAATTCATAATTATTATTAAAGCTTAAACATTTAATAAGAATTTTACTTTAAATTACTATTAGCTCAGTAATTTAAAGACTTACTGCTTTTGTTTGCTATACAAAAATTTATAATTTTTTTAATATTACAATTTTTCTTCTTTCAAATTAAATTTTTAAAATGATGTATGTAAATGAATTGTGAATCATAATGATTTTGTTAATTATATTGAATTTAAACTAACAAAAAATCTGTACAAATTATAATTGGAAAATATTTGTAAACTAATATTTGCAATAGCAATAAAAACATGCTCCTTGACCATCATATTGCATTATCCTGTTTTGTATTGTAATATTGAATTGTAATATTTAAATTCATACTTTAAAATAAACGAGAAAAAATAGATTTGACCGTGTCAACTCTGTGATACCCGTACGAATTTGTTATCCTATGTGTAAGAAAATATGCCATAGCTGACTATGGGACAGACTATAACTTTAAGTTACCATATTACCATATTAATTTATGCAAAATTTCAGTACTCTGTTTTCAATATTTTTTAAGGAATGGCCAAACTACTATTGAAGTTGTATGGCAGCTGCCAGAAAGAGCCAAGCTATTTCCACGAATTTTAAGAAACACATTGGGCTCTACTAACATACTTGCTTATGTGAAATTTCAATATCACAGCTTTTATAGTTTCTGAGATGTAGTCAAATAAGTTTTGAAGTTGTATGGCAGGTACCAGAAGAAGCCAAGCAATTTCAGCGACCTTTATCAAACACATTGACTCTACTAATATATTTACTTGTACGAAATTTCAATACCACAGCTTTCATAGTTTTTGAGATGTAGTCAAATAAATTTTTAAGTTGCATGGCAGCTACCCGAAGCAGTACACCGATCATGTCCAATTTAAGTAGGGTTCTGGCACTTACTACAAAAAAATCATTTGCGAAAATTTGGTGACAGCTCAATTAGTTTTTGAGTTATCGCTGGGACGGACGAACGGACGGACGGACAGGCGGACAGACAAAGCTAAATCGACTCAGAATTCGACGCTGGTCAAAAACACACTTGAGTCTGTATCTAAGACCGTTATTTCTTAGCGTTACAAACGGTAAGGCAAATTTAGTATACCCTTCGAATATACGTTCGTACGGGTATAAAAGTAATAATTCAGCACACATATATTTACATAATTGTATATCAATCAATATATTATATTACTGCAATTTTGAAATAATAAAATTTCAATTAACTGTCATAAAACTTTTATTCAAAAATAAGTAGCCGGAAATGATTACCCATATATGATAATTTTTAAGGAACTCTCCTCTAAATGCACAAACAAATATATATTAAAGAAATTTCACTTTTCTCTCTACTTTTTTCATTTCTTACCCTATATTTTTACATTTTTAATATGTACCTACATAAATCTAATATTGCATTATATATGTATGTAGTTCTGAATACTTTGATTATCTTATATCTTTAAAGAACTAGCTTTTCTATATTAACTGAAAGAAAAAGAAAAATTTTTTTAAGTGGTCAAATAATTTTTCTGCGTAAATATGCAAATATTTGATAACAAATAAAAATGAAAATAAATATCAAATATTTAAAATATAAGGTAGGTTTTTTTTCAAAAATATAAAGGAAAAGAAGATGAAGTTGTGTTCAAGGAAGTCGGTGACTTTTTTTATTCACAAAACAAGATTTACACATTGGCTCTGTTGTGCTGTTTAAATTATTTATTTAATTTTTTTTTTCTATTTTTAAAATATAATTATTGGTATTGGTATAACTTTTACCGTTTTTTACGTATGAAACATTATTTAGCTACTCGTTTTTTTAAAAATCAACGTAAAGAGCTAACACGATGATGTTAGATATACATATATAATTTTTTAAGGGAAATGAAAAATAAAAAGAAAAAAAATTAATTAAATTTTTTTTATATTTGTTGTTATTACAGTAGAATCTTGGATTAATATTACACGTAGATTCTGCGAACACAATTAGAATTCTAATAACAATCAACCTCTCCTCTCCCTCCTTTCTTCTTCTTAAGAAGCTGTTATAATTCAGCTGTTATAGTATAAAAGCTTATATTCAATAATTGATTACATATATATTATACATATACATATATTTGATTTCAAATTACACGTCACTTAAAAATTTTACAATACTACTGCAAGATTGCTACAGCAATTAAAATTTGATTATAAATGAGTTTTATATTTGGGAATTAATAAAAGAAGACTGTATTAAACCATTTGCCGTTCATAAGATTCGAAATATGTTGCTAAATCTATGCCAGGATTGTACAATTCACTTTCACAGCTATTCATTTCACAGATCCCTCATTCAAGACACCCATAATCTTTATCTATTTTCATTTAAGTATATTTTTAAGAAAATACATAACTATCTATAATTTTGAAAAAATAAAACCGAACTCTAATGTAACTCTCAAATCACCTGACGATAGTGTGCTGTGAACAGTAAAAACAACAACAACAACAAAAAAATAGTAATAGAGGAATATAAATGCAAATATGAACGTACTCGTACATATAAGTACCAAAATAAAATGATAAAAGCATGACGTTTATTATAAAATCGCAATAGGTCTTTTCATAAACGCAATATATCACGATATATGCAAGTATATATACATATAACGAAAGCTGCATTATATTTGTATTCATAAACAACACAAAACTAATTTTGTTTATTAAACATAGCTAAATTATTAATAAGAATTTACGCAAAGGTAAGATTTTGTAGAATATGTAGCGATATTCCTAAAAATGCAGTTCTTAAGCTTAGAACTTCAAAGCTTTCAAAGCTTAATGTAAAAATTAAATGTAGATCCTTCAAAGCTTTACAATTTTATTCTTAAGAACTGAGTTTTCAGACATACCCTTGTTAAAAATATATTGTATTATTCATATCATGTCTAACTTTTTTAGTAGTATTGCATTTCACAAAAAAACTATTTTGCAGCACATATTGCGTTTATGAAAATCTCTAATATTTATAAATTATGGAAAAAATGAGAAACGAATAGATCATAAAAATAAAATCAAAAATAAAAAAAAATTCAAGAAAAATTGTAACATAAAAGAGACTAAGAGAGTATTGGATTGAAACAAAAATACAAAAAACTTAAAAAAAAAATTTTATAAGCCAGCACATAAATGCCTTTAAAACATTTTTAGTTAACATTATTTATGTACATTGAAAAATGTAAATTCGGTCCTTATTAGAGTTTCGCTTTGTGACATACAAATTTCTTGAAATCCTTATGTCACAAAGCGATAGTTAGTTGCGGTAAAAATCAAACTCAAACATTAAATTCCATCAATTAGTTCAGTTGATATGGTAAAAAATGTAAAATTGGGATTCGAATTGTGAGCTCCGATCTTTCCAAAAAATTTACAGGTTCCCGAATTTAAATTTTAAATTACAAGGCTGGATATTTCTCTTTATATGTATAAAAAGGTCTGATATATTTAAAATAAATAATAAATTATAAATAAAAATCGGATCAGTGGAACTTGAGATACATGCGTGCTCACGCAGATCGACAGCCAGATAAATCGACTAATATCTATGAATAGTTTATTTACGTTTCTCTAGTGTGAAGAAACAAATATTTGCCGAAAACTCGCGATCCCAAATTTGGTGCGATCATATAACCTCCTTATTGTATGCAATGCGGTCGGTAAAAAAACAACAATTAAACACAAGAAGAAATAAGGAAAAAATAAAAAACTATAAAAACCAGTAATGAGCAAAAGCACACACAAGAAACTTACCACTTAAAGTTTTATGCATGCATATACAAACATACATACAATATAATTCTTTTAGTTAGTCAGTTAAATGTGTAGCAGCAACAATAGTAGAAACCAGCACTAATAAAAGCAACATACAATCACAGCACTAATTAAATACAACAGACTACATAAAAATAACAGTAAAAAATATATGTACCTATAATAACATAATAGCACAGATGAAGACAAGAAAATACAAGAAATGTAAGAAACAAGAAAAAGCACAAAAGAAAAAAGCTCACCTTTATGTACAACACAACGGTCACAACTATTGAAATATTTTGAATAATTCTCAGTTACATGAGTTATTCCAGTCGATTAAAACGTTTGGAAAAATTATATAAAAAAAAGAAGAAAAAAAAAATAAGAAGAAAAAAATAAATATTTTTCTTCGCTTTTACCAAACAAAAAATCCGTTATTTTCATTTTTTTTTGTTGATTTTCTTGTATTTTTAATATTAAAAGAAGAAAAAAAATTATTTCAAATTACAAAATAAAAAAAACAGGTGTGTGCTTGATGTAAAATAGTGTAATTTTTTTTTGTTTAATTTAAAAAAAATTTAAAAAATGCAAATGTGGTGAAATATCAAATAATTAAATTTCAAATTTTAAGCAAAAATTTTGTAGTTTTTTTTAAAGAAAGCAACAAAAACTTGAAAAATTTTAAAACAAAAACAAGAAATTTTAATAAAAAATTTTAATTTTAATAACAATTTAAGTTACAAATTTTAATTATTTATTGCATAAATATGTATACAGTGTTTACACCGCATTATATAATTTTTTTATGTTAATTAAAATATTGGGGGAAAAAAAATTGGAAATTCAAATAAATTTGAAATTTAATATTGAAAATTTTTAAAAAATACTAAAAACAAATAATCACACACACGGTAATTGTAATGATATTTTTTCCTTAATTCTACCTTAATATTAAAACTTTTATATTAATTAATGTGGTCAATCTAACTTTTATAAAAATCTAATGTGGTCAGCTCTGATCTTTCCAAAAAAAAAAAAACATACAGATTCATTGTTTTAGCACTCCGAATTTAAATATTAAATTTGAAGGAAATTGGTTAATTATTTCTCTTTATATAGGTAAAAATTTAAAACTGACCTGCAAAAACGTCCAGTTCCCGAGGTCCGATATATCTCACCAAAAACTTGACATCTAAAATTTAGTGCCATCACTTAACCTACATCATTGTATAAAATGCGGTCGGTAAATTTATATAATAGCCCAGTTGTCTATTTGTGGCAGTGGTCGGTCCTTAAAAAGACGAAAGGATGTCGAGTTTAAGTCGCATATATGTACATAGTGTTTAGCGTTACCATATTGATTTCACAATATGAAAACATAGAAAAATCTGGCAACATAGAGAAAAAAAGCTGGCATAAAATGTCATACAAAATCCAGCTTTTATATTTAATTTAAGCACATTTTTATTGTTATATACCTTATGTTTATTAAGTTTTTATTTACCTGTTTCCAACAAAATATAAATTTAATAAAAGAGTTTTTTTTGATTAGGTAATTTTCAAAATAAACCATCCATACTAATATATACATAACCTTATATAAAATATTATTAGAAAAAATTATTAAAAATAGAAATATATAAAAATTCAATAATAAGTTTTAAATTTATATATATGAATTTATATGTGTAATATAAAATAGAAAGCTTATACGGGCAAGTCTAGTTTAAACCCATTTAAATCCCAAACTCCAACATAAAATTAATATGAAATTGAGGTATTTCCTAAGTCCTATATATGCTCCAAAATGGAATAATTGCAGTAGAAACAATAAAATAATATTGGTAATCGTTGAGGTGAACATGATACATACATATGTATCTGGCACATTGTTTATTGATAGCGATCTTGCAATGAAGAAAATTTTTGTCTTGTTTTAAGAAAATATAAATTTTATATAAGCTGGAAGAAAAGTTTTAGAAATATATATATATATATATATATGTATATATATATAAATATGTATGTAAATAATTGAATTACTTAAAATATTAACGGAGCAGGTAGGGGAGTTGTTTTAATTGAATGCATTTCGAAATGATCTTTATTTAAAAAAAAAAAGAATTAATTTTAATGTGTTTTTTCTCCTAATTTTCTATTTTCTATCCTCCATTTTTTTTTATGTTATGTGTTATTTTTCTTGATTTTTGCATAGTCCTTTTAATTTCGCATAATATGTAGAGCCGAATCAAACTCATCAATTGAGTAGGTGAACAAGTTTAATATATTACACGGATCTGAAGTGGTTCATACATACTTATGCTTATAGCAATAAAATTGTAAATTTATTCCAAATGTTGTGCATTAAAAATTGTTATTTAACCAGTTTATTTACATACATACATATGTATTGTATCTAACATAAACTGTTTTTGTCCGGACGTTTTAAATAACGTATATTCAGTTCGATAAAAAGGCAGTGTTTTGAGTGTAGTACGGATCTGTGACACTACACGGTTGTCCAAACACAATTAATAAATTGAAATGAGAATTATTAATATAAAATTCATAATTTACAACTGATACGTAATAAGACATATTTATTCTATTATTTGAAATTTTAAAGTCAGGAATATTATTATAAATTATTTATGTATTTTATTTATATATTATACAATTCTCTACATTCGTGATTTTTTCAAAAGACTTAAACGTGTGTATATCTACATAAATAAATATAATTAGATTGATATTATTTTGCAAAGAAAAAAAAAAGAAGGAAAGAAAAATTCGTGAAGAGAAAATAAATTATTTTAAAAAGTACATACATAAAACACAGAATTAACATGAATGTAGGTAGAGTTGGAGTTGAACTTGCCAACTCTGAAAAATTTCCGCGGCGCAAATAAATTATTCTGTATGAGTTTTATAATAATTAACAATTTGCAGCAAACCGTTTTATTATATTGTGTTTCAATAGTCTCTCAGAAATGACTCCTTTATTTATGAAGTTGTATGATGGCATCTACCTGAATCACTATACAATTTTGATCTCATTTGAAAATGCAAAATTTGTATAGCAAGATTTACAAGAATATATTTGTATTTACAAGAATATATTTGTAATAATTATTGTGTACCATGAGTCTTATATGTTAGATAGTTATTTTTTTCAGCTTTAAAAACGGAACAATAAATTTATAATACCTTACGCTCGTAATATACGTTAAAAGAATTAAAAAAAAAAATATAAAAAAATTAAATTCTCAGAATTATTAAAGAAAAAGAAAGAACAAAAAAAAAAACCTATAAAAATGTTATTTTTTCATTTTTCCATTTTTGTCAAGCGATTTTTCTGATGACACTGATCCAATGACCAATATTGTTTCCGTTATGGAATTTTATGTTGTTTTTCTTTATTTTCATTGATTCTTTTTCTTGCTGCTTTGTTCCAATTATTTTGATTTGACTGTATGTATGTTACGTTATCGTATATAATATCGTATATATAATATCGTATATAAAATATCGTATTCTCTTAAAATATCGCATATATGTACATGCATGTACTTAAATAGATTTAATCTGTTAATGTGACAGATGTAACATCAATTTAGCAATATTAATCACTTGTAAATTTGAGCTACATATAGGAATTTGAATTACGGTGATATCGCGCTGGGATGTTCAGTGATTTTCGTACCCATTGATTAGCATTAAATAGTTAGGGTAAGGGGGAGTACATATATATATATATGCTTCACTATTTAAGTTTTGAAATTCAATTAAAATTAATGAAATACAAAATTCTGCTCACAAAAGATCATTTATTTTAATTTAATGTGAATTTTATTGCAAAATTATATAAAAGTGTTCACAAAGCAAATATTTAATTTTAAAATTGAGAAAAAAAAAAACAAATTTTAAATGTCTTAATTTTCTTTTTTTACTCTTTAAAGTAAATGAAAAAGAAGTGAGATTTTTAATTGATCTTGGAATACAAAAAATCAAACTGCACAAAAAAAATAAATAAATAAAAAATTGAAAGTGAATTTTTTTACTTGTTTTCTTTTTCTTATTTTTTGTTTTTGTTAGCAAATTTTAGTGAAAGTTTATTTAAATATATTAAAAAAAATGATAGAGGGATTATCTAGTTTTTTTTTTAATTTTCGAATGTGTGTATGTGTGCTTTGTGATAAAATTCTTTATAATATATGACATTGCTTAAATATGTTACTTTTAATTATATGTGCCCTATACGTATGTGTGTGTGCACCACTATACATACATACATTAAAAAAAATATTAAGTGCAACTTTAATAACAATATTACAGAAACCAATTCAAATATTACAGAAAACAATTATGATATTTTTAACATAAGTAGGTATATATAAGAAAAAAAAAAATAGTTAAGTACCGTATCCGGTTCGTCCTGATATTTTTCTCCTTTCTATTTTACATTTAAATTTTGCAGCACTTTATATTTATGTCTCAGCAAAGATTTTAAAAACTAAAATTTTTAACATCTTTGGTCTCAGTTTATTAAAAATCACATTTAAAAAGTACTTACAAGAAAATAATTCATATACACAAATTAAACCTCTATTTGCAGGGATGTCAAACCTATTTCGTTTTTATTTTAAAATTTTAATTTTTTTGTCATAAGTATTTTAAAAAAGGTTATTTTAATAAATTTGTCATTTTATATTCGGCACGATTCGAAATTCGATATAACCTGAACATTTTATGAGAATAAGAATAATTTTTTTAAGGCCCTTCCTACGATCTTTTATGATTTTTATCTCCTCTTACATTAGCACTGTATTTAGGCCTCTGGCGAATTTCACTACTGTAGGTAGGCAAACTGCGAGACTTCCATCGGGATCAGAAAGCCGCCCCCTCCAAAGCATACAAGTACAGGCGAGCTAATTTCTCGTATTCACACAATAAGTTTCCTACCATTTCCGTCCTCTTGCATACATGATGATGTTATTAAACAATAAAGTTCTATTTAGTTTTATTTTTACTCGCGTTAGGATTCGAATTTAAAAATATTTATAAATAAATAGAATTTCATTGTTAATGCTACTGTTCCTGCGATTCTGTTGCAAAAACAAAAAAATAAAAAAAAATTATTACAAAATAAAAAATTGAAAAAAGATCAGAAGAAAAACAAAAAGCGCTAAACTTATTATGTGAAGGCATACGGTACACAAATACGCACACAACGAAATACATAAAACAATCATAAATTATAAAAAAAAAAATAAGTAATTTTATTTTTTTTAAATATTTACATAATATTTTTTAATTTACGATTTTCTTATGTTTTGATTAGTTTTTTGTTTTTCTTTTTCACGCATAATTTACATTTTTATTTTTTATTTCATTTTCTTTGTTATTTTCTATTTTATATGAATGAAAAAATTGCATTTAATAAAGCAAAAATTATAATGATAAAATTTTTTAAAATTACATCAAAATCTATGTACATATATTATAATGTCTGTGTGCTCCACGTCTTTCAAACCTAAAATAAGTATTTTGTCCTCTGGAACGCTTTATGTAAACTAACTTTTTGTTATATAGAATCGAAAAGTCGGATTAATATTCAAGTAACATACATCTTTTTGTTTGGAGAATGTTTACAATTTAAATTTGTCACCGTATAACTGTTGGGCCATATTACTGTTTTGCATTACTACAGGGTGTCCGGAAAGTTCCCGTACTTCTAGAAATACTAGTTTTTCTCTTTATAATTCATTATTTGCATTCGTTGTGCAATTTTTCTCGAAGTAGTACCTGTTAACTATGTCTTAATTTTTTGTTAGCCTAGAAATGAATCGCGATAACAAGCGCATTACTATTATAGAATATACACAGGTTAGGTATGAAGCCGGTTGAGGTTGTAAGGAGGACTGGCTACAAAAAAATTACTGTCTCTGATGCCATAAAACGTTCCCAGGAGTTGGGGAGCACATCGGAGAGGCACTTAAGGGAGCTTTGAGACGCGCATTGGATGAAATTACCATCGAACAGTGCGCGTTCTTCGTGCATGTGTTACTGCGATTCGAGCTAATTTTTTTTATTGAATATTGTTATTACTATTCTAATGAACGTCTCTGACCTGTTAACAATCTTGATTTCTTAATCCATGTAGCAGTTGTAAGCTTGTTTTGATCACTGTTACTATTCGTATATTAATCGTTTGCATGTATTAGATTTAGTCCATAATATAAATATTATCGTTGGAGTAAATATTGTTTTTAAACAATTTTTAATATGGAAAGCAGTCTTAATTCAAATTAAGCTTGCTCTGTCCTTTCAACATTTCAGTATATAAACCGCTATTGAATACGCACTAAAAATAAGCTAAAAATTGAATTATACCCAAATTACATAAAATATAAACAAATGGCTTAGTGCGAAATTTGAAAAAAATTTCTCAGAACTAATTTCACGTTTAAATTTGTTAGGTGGTACGTAGTTCTGTCAAGTCATGTAAAATTTTAACCTGTTCCGGCTTATAATGTGTGTGTGGTGTGTTTCAATTTAGTTATTTAAATTTCATATTTATTTTTTTTTTTCTTTTTTTTTTATAACAAAATATAAATTACTGTTTTCGTTGATGTTTTGTTGCATGAATAAATTTTAATGTTTTCATTTTAATTTTTTTGTATTCTTTTTAGTGATCAGCGGCCATTTATAATTTTTTTGCATTTTTTTTTTTAAGTTTTAATATTATAAAACAAATTTTTAATATCTTTGATCGTCTAAAATCGAAAAAACAATGAGAATTTAAAGATTCTCTTTATAATTATCATTTAAAATATGCATATTATGCATATACATGTTTTGTTTTGATAAATAATAGTTAAAAAAATTAAAAAATCAAAAACAATCAATTTAAATAAAAAATAATAAAATTTTTCAAAAAATTTTATGTTATTTTTTTTTGGAGATAAAGAAATAACAAAAAAGTGAATAAAAAAGTGATAAAAAACAAAAAAGAAAAAATAAAAAAATTTCATAATGCCGTTATATTGTTATTATAATAGTATATGGCATAGGATAATGCCAATAATAAAATTTTCTTCAATAAAATCATCACAAATTTACTTTATATTTTTGATTGTTGCAAGTTTTTGTATAACAAATGGATTGGCTCAATATTCTGGTAAGTTTGTATTTTTTAATTATTTTTTTTTTTAATTATTTTTTAATTTTATTAAATTTATGAAAAATTTTAGTTTACCAAAAATATAAAGCTTATTTGGTTATGTGTATAGAAAAATAATTCATCGAGTTATGTTTACATTCGTATTATTAGGCAATTTAGCAAATAAATATTATAAGCTGAATTAAATAAAAATACATTTAAATTGAATTTTTTAACAAATGCGAAGATTAATTATACAATAAACTTTAAATATTTGAATATGTTCAAAGACTATAATATATTCCAGAGATCGAAATTCAAAAGTAATATTGCAATTTAGAAATTTGTAAACTGAATTTGATAAATTTTGTATAAATTTTATAACTCAGCTCTCAGACGAGTCTCGTCGCCTTAGTCTTCAAGATAGTTTCAAATCTATTGGTTCCAAATAGCTTGTCGGGACCCAAAAAAGTCCTTCCAGCCATTTTTGAGCCCAAAACAAACTGAAAAATCCAAAATGTGGTCAAGTTGGGTACTGTTTAAAAGGTCTTGGCAGGTTCTACAAATTTTATACGAGAAATTCCCTGAAAATCGATTTTGTAGGGGTCCAGGTTCCGAAATGGGTCCTAAGAAGCGAAAATTGAAAGTCCTAAATATGGTCAAGTTGGGTATCGTTGAAAATGTCTCAGTGTGATATAAATTTTTGAGCGAAAGCCCTAAGGAGGCGAAATTTGAAGAATCATAAATATAATTAATTGAGTATACTGTTGCAGAGATCTCGGAATGTGTTTTAAAACTTTTTCGTGAGGACTCTCTCGGAAAATCGATCTTGTTGTGGTCTAATCCCTAAAATGGGTCCTAGAAAGGGGAACCGTTGGAAAGGTGTCGGTTTGTAACAAAAACGTGCTGTTTCAAAAACAATTGTAATTCTTGTCATGCAAATTATCATAAAATGTTCCGGGGAGGGTCTGTGGCAAAATATTTCAAAACCTCTATAGTCGTGTGACATATTTTAGAAAAGATGTTGAAGAGTTCTAGAGGTTTTGTTGGGAGATTTTTTTGAAAACATATCCTACCGTGTCCTAGGTCCCTTAAATTCCGAATAAATTTGGAAAAAAAGAAGGCCTACAACTTCTATTGAAATGATTTCAAGATAAAATCTAAAATTTCTCCTTTTGCAAAAACAAATATTGACTTTTAATAAAAACTCTGTTCAATTTAATAACAAATCTTGCTCACGCTAATTTAAGAACTACAAAGATATTGAAATGATATAGAACAAAAAAATTCTAAGAGAAACTTCGTTTTTATTGTATATTATTTTGAACTTCAATTTTACATTCATTATAAATAACGTCTCAGACAGACGATTATTGAATCACTGCAAAACATTTGTACCATGTTTCCAGGCATATACCATCCTCTGTACTCTCTTCTGTGCTGCAGTATACTCTCCTCGGTTAGTTCGGCCTATTATTACTCCTATAATTTCGTGCACAATTCTTGTCATGCAACTTTAATTTCTTTTCGTGAAATGAACCAATACCTTTTTTTTGCGGAATTAAGAAATAAAACGCGTAATTCCCTTCGAAAGCTTTACTCTAGGTAATTTGCCGTGAAATGATTTCTTGTACAGTTGAATTTCAATTAAGTTTTTTAGCCCTGTTTTTTTAATTTTACTAAATTTTTTTTACATTTATAAGATTAATCGAAAAATCTATGTCCAAAAATCTGACGAAGAACAAACCAAAACAAAAGAGTAAAACCAGTTACAAATATTTTATAATTTTTTTTCTTTGTTTATATTTTGAACATTAAAATTTGGTGTTTATTTTTGGCAAAAATTATTTAAAAATATTTTTAAATATTAATCATATTTAAAAAAAAAATCATAGAATTATTTTGAGACGAAATAAAATTGACAAAAAAAGAGAGAAAAAAAATTATAGGTGATCTTATGAAAAAAATTTTCAAACAATTTCTGTGGTTACAAACAAAAATTGTTTAATTCGAAAATTTGGTAAATAATTCTTTGATTTAATCTTGATTGCTAAATAATATTAATACACTATACGGGGTGAACCTGTAACGTGTAAATCTCGGGCGGAGAAAGGTGAGACCAGAAGGGGGGAGAGGACGGGGCGCAAACAAATATTTATGTCCCAAAATCCAGTTTGAAAATTTTAAAATATTTAGTTATAAAAAATATACCATCCATGGTCATTTCTATACTTTCATGCTTTCATAATACCACAGATATTTATCTATATAATATGTATAAAAATGGTACTCATAAGTATGGTGTGTTTTATTTTAACGAGGATGAAAAATGAATACAAAAAAAAATTAATAAATAAAATAAAACCAAAGAAGTAAAAAATGTGTAAAAGGCATTGAATTTTTGTGTTTCTATACTCTTTTGTTGTCTTTTTGTTTTGTCTTGAAAGCAGTTTGACTACATATTTTTCTTTTTATTTAAAAAATTAAAAAAAAAAATTATATATTTGCGTTCCATTTAGATTACTCAATTTAATTTACTCATCTAATGTTGTTAGACAAACATACAAATGTTAAGCAAAGTTGATTTATAATATTAGTTTTGGTAATTCTTGGAGTATTACATGACCTTAATCATGAGTAAATTTGGAAATTTTTTTTTTTATCCGGGAAAAATTTATATGTACGTAAATTTATCATAAGAGGTCCTTTATGTAAAACAGGAAAATTTAAAATCCTCCTATATTATTCCTATATGCTTCAATTTTACTCTTGAAGAAGAATTTAATTCATTTAGCAAAGTAAAATGATTTGTAATTGTGACTGCACACACTTCCTTCCCATAATTAAAATTTATTTTGCAAATATTTTTTATTATTGCATATTTTTTAAAGAGAATACAAATTTTCATAGGAGCCCATAACAAAATATGTATTGTTTGTATAATTAATTTTGAGAGAGAGAGAGTGCATAAAAGCAAGAAACCGATAAAATTGTATTTTAATGAAATCGACCGAAATTTTAAGAGACTTTAAGGTCATTAGGTGTTATATTTGAGTAAAGTTAATTTGGAGGAAGGTTTACGTTTTTTAAATAACGGGACAAATGGACTACAACGAAACTATTTTTTAAACATTATTTTTTATCAAACCAGCTTAAAATGAATTCAGATGATTTTCTATGTATGTTGAATAAGGTAACACCTTATTTTAACCATACTTTTTCTCATACATTTCTATATCATGGCAGCTTATTGTATTCTACATAACTGCCGTATACAAATATAAACGTTACAACAATTGAAAAAAACTAATATCAAAAGCATATAAAGCAAATTCTTCATAAATAAAATATAAATTAAATTAAATTGTAATTTACTTTAAGTTGGCATTGTTCAAACAAAGATACATACATATACATGAATTTTATAAGTAAATATTTAATAAGACTGCATAAATCACATAATTTACAATTATTGATGTTTTTAATTCTATACATATGTACATATGTATTAACAAACTATAACAACAGTTTTAAATTCTATAATTGAAATAGTATGCATATAATCCGTGCATGTAATTTAGGGTTAAAGAACTTTAAAGATGAAGGATGACATAATGACATACATTCAAAATTAGAAACTAAGCAATTTCTCTCTCTTCAATACTTAGACAAATAGTTTTTGTTTTTAAGTAGGGATGGCATTATTTACTCTCTACACGTACACTTATTTCATGAAACAATTTACTTACACTAGGGTCTATCAGACCCCAATGTGTAATATCGTAAAAAAAGATGCTCCGTGTATATTTCAAATGATCGAAGAGCACAATTTACAGAAGAAGAATTTTTCTTATCTTTTTTCCTGGGACAAAAAGCAAATTTTGGACAAAAAAATCTTTAACTTCTTTTTTAAGTTTTCAATAAAAAAAAAGGATTCAAATTCCTCAATATTTACTAACACTGAGGTCTCTCAGACCTCAAAACCACTTTAAGGCTATTTTTTGTGTATTCGCCGAAAAGATACTTACCGTTCAGTTTCTTATAGTAGAATAATAATAAAGAAGAAAATTTCCTTTAAATTCTTGAATTGCCCACTCTAACTTTGAAATAAAAATCAATAAGTCAAATTCGGTTGGAATCTACCAGACCCCAGTGTGAGTATCCGGTGCTAATTAAATGCGAAATAAATCTTTTTAATCATCAAAGGCATAACTTTTATGCAAGAATTTGTTTTGTATTGTTGTTTTGTATAATATTTACACTGTATAGGCAAATAATAGGTGTTATTAAGAAGTGTGGCTATTATCGTACAACACTTTAGAATCTCTCATTTGTATTTCGGGTATTACAAAGTTGACACGATCAAGAGTCTTTTATCTATTTACATGCAAGTGTATAACAATTATTATTAAAAAATTTTAAGCTTGCTAAAGATTAAATTTTGTACTGTACATACAATAAAATCAAAACAAAGCGAAATAGAAAAATAAGAACGAAAAACACAACATTAATTTTAATATTTTAAGAAAAAAATTTAGGTTATGAGAAAAAAAAATTGTTAAAATTTTTAATTTTATTTTCTATACTATTTTTATTGTTTTATATATAAATTTGTATATATGTATATATTTTTTAAATAGCATGACGTGGTGGCAAACAACAAATTTTAAGTAAAATGAACAAAAACAACAATTTTTTTTTCCACAATCCACAATTTTTGTATTACTTATTTTTTTACTTTTTTTAGTTTTTTTTTTTGGATTACATAAGAGAATTTGACAGAAGAAGTAATAATAAGTGAAAACGTTTCAATCGGTATAAACCGACTGAATAATACCCTGCACTTTGACAATTTGAGTTTAAAAATTTGTTTCTGAAATATCTAGAATTAGCTTTCCTTGTTAAATAGCAATTACTCGAACCTGTCAAACCATTCTATAGAAACTTCACGAATATGTTTAATCTATAATTGGACTTACGACTGCCAAGTTTCATGAATCTAACTTTATTATTTTTCC